AAAGACTTAAAAACTTCCTACATATGTTAACTTTCGATAAGAAACAGAATTGTACAGCCAAATGTATAATTGGTTTAACAACATTATCTACTGATAATCATGAATTGTATTTAAATATGGTTAAAAACACGTATGTGTATTCTTATTTTATTTCTTCATAATATTGTCTCGTTTCAGAGATTAGAATACTCACTGAAGTTCCCATAAATCCCTCAGGGATAACAATATAGGATTTCCTATGAAAAGTTTATGATCTAACATTTGACTAGATATTTGAAATGGGCAATGCCATGGTACTGGAGCATGAATGACAACCGGTGAATAATCTGTAGGACATGTTTGAATGTTTAGATGTTTTCTTTCCTCAGGATCCAGTAGGATGTAATTCAGTATAGCTCTGCGAATACTCTGATTATAATCACATATAACTTCAGTTTCTATTGCATCCAATAGAGAGTGATGTCTGAAAAGAAAATATGAATAACAATAAGAATTGCATGAATTAATTCACATGTCTACACATAGATCACTTCTAAGTTGCTCAAAGAAGTTATGTTGCACAAAGCACTCTTCCTCCTGAATTATCTAAAGATTTAGAATTTTTGTACTCTATATATATAAAATGATTACCCTGTAAGCCCCAAAATTTGCATAAAAGGCTCAGTATTAAGGATAAATACTGTATCAGGAAAAGGTTGAATATTTTCAAACAAATAAAACACTAAAATTGGGAATTTGAAATTTACATGGACTTCACGAAAAAGAGATTCCTGGAATGTTTCTGTTTATAATGATTTCAAAATGTGTTTAGATCACAGGCTACTGAAATATAATGAAATTTGTCTTTCTTCCTTTACAATAAGGCCAAGTTTCTGTTACCATAAAATACAGCAAGACTGTAAGACTTACTTTTTATTCAACAAATACTTTTCAGCTATTCTCTTCTTAGCTCCACACAATAGATTCTGTGGATATGGTCCTACCAAGTTGTCCCTGATAACCTGGAAAAACAAATGAATATGTACATGATTGTTTGGTTTTCTAATGCATTAATTAAAAATGCAGTATTAATAGCAACAAATTACCCACTGAGCTAAAACAGAAATTATACAGCTAGTGAGAAAAATGATATCTTGCAATAACATACATGAATATTATTAATATAAGTTGTATTAATTAATTCATATTCTAATCATAATCAACTTTTAAAGTTATGGGACAATCCCTTATATTTTTGTAATAGTAAAAAATGTATTAACTACATAAAGTGAAATGATTATTAAAAGGCAAATGACATGACAATTAAGCAAAGTAAACTTAAAAGGATGGTAACAAACTAGTAATAAGCTATTTATATGTGATATCTTGGCTCTTTATTGGAATAATTGATAAAGATGTCAAAAGTCTGATGTGTTGCGGTTAAGTACAGAACTTTGGTACTTGTGTCAAAGCGTCCATGAAACACACGGAAAAGCTGTTTCCCTTCAAAATGATCCCTTACCGCAGATATAAGACCTTTTTTATTACTTTATATTCATAATATCATAGCTGTTAACAGAATTATTTGTCACCACAAATGCCTGTTATTGCCAAATATACAAAATAAAGTATTTTGTTCCCTTCAGAGTGTTATATTTGATTACCTCTGTAAGACAGTACTCTATACGCTGAATATCTTCTTCTCTTACTGGCAGACTTTGTTCATACTCAATAGCATCTTTAAGCATTTTTAATTGGTCATCAGGATGAATTGGTTCCTCAGCTTCCCGAAGTCTGCAGAACATAAAATATCTTACTCTGTGGCTGAATGGGTTAATTTTAAACTTCTACCAGACAACATGACGGAACAACCCAGAAGACAGTCATCTTCAGACTTACCACCATGAAAACCTCAAACCCTACAAATCTTTATTTGTCTATCCATAAAAATAACTTAGAAACCAACAAAAATGATCCTGATAACATTTGATACAAACAAATTGTATTAAAAACTGTCAAGCCATTTGAATTTTCATGGCCATTTACAAAAAGGCATAAATACATTTCTCCACTTCTTGAAATATGATTGCAAATGGCATTTAACTTCGTTATTATGGTTGGCTTGGTTGCCATGGTTATCTGGGGAGGAGGAATCCCATGTGATGTATCTATCATCTCCCAGCCAGATACCCTCCCATGGAAAGGTCATTGACCCCGAGCAACTCTAACATCATTATTACCATTCACAAGATTAAGGATAACATTTTGGTGAACACACCAGAATTTTTTACTCTAGGCACACAGTACTTAACTTGTTCAGTATTATTATGGCTTGCTCCACTACTAAATGAGGAAAGAAAAGAAAAATTGAATTCAAAATTGGTATCTTCAAACTAAAATTCTTACATTATACCATGACATTAACCTCTACGATATCCTTTAATTTGTGCAACAAGTTTTTGTGACCTGTTATTATGGTATGATGCAAGCACAAAACTGTAAAGAAATCTCTGAGGATAATAAGCAAATCAGCATTAGGAATTGTTCCTTCTAGTAGTGCTTAGTAATAAACCAGAGCTACATACTTCAACTCTTCTTCATAGAGATGTTTCTTTTCCATTTCCTGTTTCTGTGCTAAATCTCTTTTCCCTTTGACTTTTTCCTTTCTTTCCCGAAACTTCTGTTGGTAATACCTTCCAGTCAGTAGATCCTATAAATTTAAACAGAAGATTTAGCTCATGCCATCATTAATCTTTGACTGTGGTGCAAGAATAAAACCATGCATCCCTTTCAGATCTTGAACACTCAACTGTATTAGTCAGGACACTATCAGGTTCTTATCATATCTTAATACTCAGGAGTTCGAAACATGCTGTTTGAAAATGTTCATAGTAACAAGAAAATGTTTATTTCATATATTATGATTAAACACCAGGGCTTAAATTGTAAAACTGCAGTAATGTAACACAATAGTAAATAGAAACATGAACTAATATTAATGTATTTATAGCTCATGAGTGTAAAACTTACACGTAGTTTGACAATTCCTTGTACTGGCACTTCTTCTGTCACCTTTGTTTTCATTTTTTCCAATTCAGCTATCATTTCTGTGGTTGGATATTTAAGTTTTCCATGTTCATCTAACATAAGTAACTTTAGTGGAAGTTGCTTTCTTACTGGGCGCAAATTTTGTATACGAAGGGACTTTGCAGGTGGAGTATAGTTGCTGCCTATAGATTCACTTGGTCTCAAAGATTCAGAGTGCTTCTGGAAAAGGAAAAATGAAAGCAAATAGATCCTGAAAATAGTTGTATCACATCATTAGTATTAAAACTTCACACATAACCTCTTTATGATGTTTAGGTTGTTCTCCTTTATAATTTGAAATGATCAGATTACAAGAAGGCTTTGACTGATATAAAAATTAAAAGAAAATAGAATTCTATCTAAGTTCACTTTGTGACAAAGTGTTGATATTTGCTCAAATACGAAAATGGTAGTGCCTATTACTGGCTGCTTTCATGTGTTACCTAGTATCACAAATCAAGCTATTTATGTGATGACAATGATATGTGATGCACTTCAGTTACAAAATGAGTATTAATTTCCTTTTCTACAAACACTGAAAGTAACGGAATTTGTCTGTGACTACCTGTAAAAGAGGTGGGTTTTCCTGTTGCTTGACAGAAGCTTCCATAAGTTCAGATGGCTTTCCATTATCATCCACAATCGATAGTGGAGGCAGCTTTGACTCCTGTCGTGACATATTTGATGCCTGGTGTGATCGTTTCTTTGATATCGCACCTCGCATTTTGTCTGTTTAGCCTATAATACAGAATATATAACATATAGACCGAGTAGGATTTGAAATTTTCACGACGCTGAGTCTAAAGATGGCTGGGGTATCGCGCTGGGTAGTCTGGTAGAAGTTCACCGTTTGAGAGGTCCTTGCTGCCTTCATAATCAGGGTGATGAGTTAGCCGCGCAACCAACCAAAATGTTAAGAGCAGAGTCCTACGCAAGCGCAAGACATCGTCCCTGCTAGGTAACACCATTCTTGCATACGAAACGCATTGCTGGAAATGGTAATCAGAGCCTTATATCTAAAACGGGAATTTGCTTACGCTAACGCGGGTTTTGTCATGGCGGAATTGTAAGCCGCGCACATGGAAAAGGATAGTTTTGGAGACTGATAATCAAGGAAGGGCCTTTGCCTAAACAGTGGGGACAGGAGTTAGAATCAGGCAAGGGTCTCGGAACCAATAGGAATGGGGAACATGCCACAACCTGGCCAGCAGTAGGGGTTAAGGTCGTGAGGGAGAGGTCCAAGAAATTTCGTCAATTTGTTCACATGGTGCAAAAACCCAAAAGACAGCTATCTTCAAAATACTGTTTATATCTTACAAACTTTATTTTCTGTCAGTACACATTCAGTGAATAGATTAAAAATGCATGCAAATTTACATGTACACACCCTTCCTACCTTAAAGGATGGCATGGAGCTTGGTCACAGGAATACATGTTTCACTCCCCCTTTTCTGAATATTACATATAGCCTACCTTATCAGCTAGACCACAAGCAATGTATCTTACCTTTGTGCAGACAGTTTGGGTGATGCAGAAAAAAGTGAAAAATTATGTTTAAATCTATCAGACTGGGTAGCGATCACAAAGGTACAAGCCAGTTGTAAACATTTTATGTTAATACCTTATTTGGCACAATTACAGAGCTTGGAAGATAAAAATGTGTCTCCTATGAAAGGGTTTTAAGGGAAAAGTTGGTCTCAGGGTAAGATGAACACTATTCAAGGGGTTCTGGGCTAATTCCCAATAAGCTCTATATGCAGATATTTATGCTCTCCCTGCTGCTGATGAAAAACTTTAAAAAGTGAAGTATGCCAGGTCCTATCACACTTTGGAGCCTGCATCATATTGTTTACAAGTGTTACCATAGGAACGCCCAATTACAGTGGAACAGGTTTAAATAAAAATCAATACTAAGTTCTTTAATAAACTTACTGTAAATTTAAATAAGTATATATTTAGTCTATAATGCATAGTTACAGAGACCTATAATACATTAATAGTAAGTGAAGTATGAGTTTTAAGTCAGTAATTTATGTTCAGAAATGGCAGTTTTTGGTAATGGCTTCTAATGTGTATGCACATACCAATACAAATCTGGTTAATTTCATTTAATAATGGTTAGTTTCCTGACTCAAAAATTAATTTAATTAGTGTTCTCACACTGGAAATGCAAGTACCACAATCAATACCATACTGGGAAAAGTAAGGTAGTGCCAAATGGAGGACAAAAACTGAACTAAACTTCACATATCACATTTGTTCATAAAGATAAATTTTAACTGATTAACACTGTAATGAATGTATAAAAAATATAAAATACATTTATTAAATTTGTTTTTAATATTTAAACTGGCAATGTAAAAATCAGTTCATGCATCTTTATTGTAAGTATTTAAGATAAACAAAAATTATTTTTGGTTTTACATATAAAGGTTGATAAAATTGTTCTAGCTAAAAAATTTGAAATGATTCAACAATTTTTCACAAAACTCCCCAACTTTAAATTAAATTAAAATTGGGTTATCTGTTCTTGAGTCAATTCTTGTGTACAGTGTATTTTACAATAATAAATATTTTAATTTCAGTAGGCATTAATTATAAAACCTGTAGAGTTAATTAAAATAAATCTTAATTATAATGTAAATATGAAACATTGTACACTTGAAATATGGCAATAATTTATGTAAAAATTATGTACATAATGCATCCGCTGATGAGTGCACAGCACTCTGATAACTAAACCTGATGTGGTTAGCACATCAATACCTATCAGGTAGACTGCTGGATTCAACGAGTCTGCTTCTTGCTGGTGAATAATCAAAGAATACCCGAACAAACTTCTGCCATAGTGATTCATCTTCTGAAATAATTTCAAGTTCTCTCCTCCTCTTTTCTTTGAAATCCACCCACTCTTTGTACACCTTAACATTTTGTGGACGCCATAGTTCTGATGGTTGAAATGCAGACTTTATTACCTGAAATGAAGATAAGTTCAATATTTTTGTTACATTTTGAGTACAATGAAAGTGTATAATTAAATCTAAGGCTTGAACTCTGAAGGATCATTCTGTTACTACACTACATGACTATATCTAAAATATCAAGAGGAAGTGGAATTCTAAGAGCAATTATTTACAGAAATTTTACAGCTGTTTAAAAGTTTGTGAGAAAATCAACAAATACTATATGGAAAGACAATTTATTACAAGCTTAATATTGAAAATTAGTCTTTCCAAAGATGTAACCATACTAAAGATATTCTTCCTTAAACTAAATAAGCATTTGCATTTAACTTCTCATTCATAACACCTCAATACATTATTATGAACCATGTTTATCATTACTGACCTCTCTCCTCTTAATCATAGCAATTAATGCCCAAACAGGGAACTGGATCACTCCAAATGCAAAAAGAATCCAACCAAAAGCTAAAAAAGAAACAGTATGTATTAATATATGAAAATATTTAATGGAATGAGACATTGAAATATTTATCATCTACTTGATGTAGCCACTTTCGGAACGTATATAAATATTGTCATATCCTCTACTGAAATGTCAAAACTTTTGAATAATTATAATCATGTCACATCTGTTTGCTTTACACTACAAACTGCATGTGAATAGATTTAATTATTTCTCATGAATAAATGTTATACCCATAATTAAAATATTAGGGTTATGTGGAAATGGAAAATAAATAAATAATTTTCGGTGTTAGTAACCTCAGCAACTCTGCTTTGAATAAAACAAAAGTTGTGCAGTGTAATATGTACAAGACAAAGTAAGGTGTATAGAGTAAATGAGGTTTCGTAACACAGTATTCATATTTTATCACTGATATTTATAAATTTAATTAAACTTGATACAAATTTGTTGGTTAAAATATGCAGTTCTATGTTATTATTCTTGGTTGTTCTTCAGTGAAAGTTAAGTACATTTCTTCAATTGGATTTTAAAACTACTTACCATAAGCAGATGTTGGGAAGAATTTGTCCTGATAAGTTTCTGGTTTCATGATAGCTATGGCATATACAAGGATGGCAATCATCAAAACTGGTGTTATGATCCCCCAACTCAGTCTCCAGTATGCACTAAGTTTTCTACCAACCATAAACTCCACATCATTACAGAAGTTATCCACACCTGCAGAAGACCAGATATTAACATCATCAGTTGAAATTTAATGGCGGTCACCATGAAATATTTAAATTATACATTAGCCGAACTTAAACCAGAGTTTTATGTCACTATGTAGGTGCCACATCTATTTCACATTTTCAGTATTTTCATCCATTCATATGAGAAAATTGTCAAGATTGTGAAGATATTTGATATCAACACTGAATACGAAACAATTTTCCTAGAAAGTAAAATTTCAGACCAAAATATTAGTAATGATAAATTTGGGTGTAGTGAAGAGTAGTTACAAGATGTTGTGCCTCATATCTGTATTTTTGACTGGATAGGGGATGATGGATGTTCACTCTACCATAACTGAGATCTAGTTGACAACAGCATGGAAGATCAAGGACAACTGACATTATCAAGGCTTATCAAGAAACAAGGGTAGGATCAACCTCATACAGAGGTCACAGCATCCACTAATCCACTGGATGCAACACACACTGACAAAACAGTCATCATCCTTACTGATATGTACCCCATAATAAATTATGGTAATCCATGCAATGATAAATATTAATTATACATATTACATAAGTCATTACTTTAATGGACAAAACAGTACAGCCTACCCTGAAACTAGCAGAAGTCAATCATATCACTTGGCACATAACAGACTGTTATTCAAATTCCATTTGTCATGTTTAAAGAGAACTTACCATAAATCCATGCAATTCCAATCACTTCAATTGTTCCCAGGATGAAGACAGTGAAATTTGTACCATAAAAATCTACCAGAGTCAAAATGTATTGACCACCCTGAAAAATCATGAAGTAAAATGTCAGGTGTAATATCAAGAATGTTAAGTGAGTAAAGAAAACAGACTTTTTTCAGCGACAGTGAGTAACTGGTAACAGTAAATACTGCAGGAAAAACTGCCAAAGACTTGTTTTATTTCATGCAATATTTTCAGAAAAAGACAGAGATTGGAGTAAAGAATTTGTGGACTGGTCTCGAACACCTTCGTTGATAAAAGTTTAAAGTGAGTTGTTACTCATCCACAACATAAAACATTCATTTTACATCAAATATTTTCTGAGGATGTCTTGAAGGTGTTTCTCCTCTAAATATTTCTTTTATAATGAGATGCAACAGGATATGCGATGTTTCAGTTTTGTTTGTTATGGCAACAGGATCAATCATTTAAAAATGCAGTGGGGGAAGGTGATATCATTCAAAACAGGATATGTTTAGTGTGCTATAAATAAAGTCTTCAAATTCATAATCCTTTGACTATTTAATTGGCGATGTTCTGTATTAGTATAACACTGAAAAGTTAACCTAGAATTAAAATCTGGCTGGCATCCCAACAGTACAGGGGTTCAAATGATAAAGATGAAGTATATCATTCAAGAATTGTTATCATATATCAGGTGATATCAAATTGAAACACTGATACTGAATTTCCGAATAGCAGACTAAAGAATGGAATTATTTTTTCAACATATTTAGTTTGACTTACTGGTGTAATGTAGACAAGTCCAACAAGAAATCCAAAGATACAGATGGCTAGAGTTACCATCCAGTATTTGAAATGGGGAAACTGGTCACAGATTACAGAGACGACAGCTGCTGCGAGGGCCACAGCACTGCCAATCCCTAGGGTGTACAGCATTAAGAAGAAGACCACTGAGAAAAACTGAAATAAAAAATAAATCATCAGACAATAAAATTCACATTCAGTTTCCACATTCTTGGTTATTGAATATAAAAAAAAATAATGATAGTTTTGAATTCTAATGTGTTAGAATTTAATAAGTTTCATGTTACTTATTTCAGGACCTTATCCCATAATCCAATGAGGGTTTGTTGGGATGCGTCATGTAAAATAAAGTTGCCATGCTACACGCTATGGAGGCACAACTATGGTGTTACTGGCTGTGAATTTTCTGATTCTATTACAAGAATTATCTAATTTACAACTCCAAAGAATGGCGTAGTCTATAATTTGAAATAAAGTGTCTGGAAGCCCTAACAATTGTATGACAATGTTATAATACAACTTTAAATTCTATAATATTGCTGCTGGTCAAACTAGGTATCAATCTCGACAGTAAATGTCACATACCTGAGGCACAACATCAAACTTGGCTATAGCATCAGGGTACGACACAAAAGCGAGTCCAGTGCCCCCTTGAACAACTTTCTCTATATCATTAATTTTGAGTTCATACATCAGGTTTCCTAGGATGGAAAAGATTGTGCAGCCAGCAAGCAGACTGGTAAATGTGTCCAGTGTGGTTACAATCATGGCATCCCTATAACAGAAAGAGATTATTACTGTAGAGAAACAAACTTCGTTGTTGCTAAACTACATTATTATTTTTATCATCCCCAATCATCACCTCCACTGCTGACATAATATTGTAGAGAAATCGTACAAATTTAAATATGAGCTTAAGTAATTACAATATACAGACATTTTTATAAGTCTACTTTAAAATTCTTAAATGAAAAATTACTCTAAACAAACTAATTGTTTTGTTTTTTCTTTCTATTTCTTACACTGTAATAAATCCCAAGCTTAATTCACTCCTCTTTTTTACTGTTAATTAAAGAGGAAGAAAAAGTAAATAGAAATAATGAAATAATAACACAGAGTTCATGCTTCATGACAGGGACAGTTGTAAAATGAAGATATGATGGACGTTAGACTTCTAAATGACTGATAAGTTATTTTAAAGAAATGCTTACCTGTAGACATTATGGCGAAAGTCATTATATGATGAATACATGATAATAGGTCCAAAGCAGATACCAAGTGAAAAGAAGGCCTGTGTCACAGCGCTGTACCACACCTAAAAATCAGGGGGAAAAATCTTAGTTTTGCTACACAAAGCAACGCTGTTGTTCAGTGGTTTTAGCAGTGCTTGTTTGTAATTCAAATATTTAAATTACGTAAAATTTTAATCTAACAAATTTGGAAATTTATGCATATAATAACAGTTCTCATACATTTCCTACATTACTGAATACAGATTTTTAATTTATGAACAGTTTAAAATTCTGGTTGATAAAATTTGATCAGTCTCAACCCAGCCATTCTCAAAACATTTTTCATTCTGACAGATACTGAGTGAAGTTTTCTTGATATGTAAGCGTGTAGGTCTTCGTGCAGTCCGTTACTATCCAATTTTAATAAAAATTCAAATGTGTTGACAAATTGTAGGAAAAATCCCCAGTTTCCAATTTTATGAATATCCGTTCAGTGGTTCTTCAGTTGTCACACATGAACAGACAGACATGAATAAGATAATAAGCATCTTCAACACACAGCAAGTGCAGCGATAACATTCAGGTCTTTAATACATCTGCTTCATTCAAACAAATCTTTATCCAAAGTGCTCCTTAGTCAGCCAAATACTGAAAGACTTAAAATTGTTTCAACTTACTATGGGATCCAGCAACTTGTCCCATTGGGGCGTAATGAAGAAAAGGATACCATCGATGGCACCAGGCAGGGTAGCGCCCCGAATCAGTAGCGTAATCATCACCACATAGGGGAAAAGAGCTAGAAAATACGCTGCCTTGCCCGAACTCTTCACGCCTCGTACAATAACCAGAAAAATTGTTATCCAGGAAAATAGCAGACACAGGGTGAGACGCCAGTCTGGGGCTCCCACGCCATCTTCTATGGAGTCTGGCTCGTTCAAAACATATTTGCTGCAATATGGGGAAAAAAATTATATAAGCATATTGTTACACTGTCAAGATACATACGCCACATGATTCATTCTTGTTTACGCAGTAAAAATAAATTATGTCAACAAACAGGTATTTATTTTCAAAGCCTGGAAATATGTAATGTACGTATGACGGAGATATGTATGTTTGTCTCTCACTCTCTCCCTCTGTTTGAATTCCTTAATTATTGACTTACTGAGTGGATTTGAATAAAATTATGGCAGGTGAACTTATTCTTTGAATTTATTGATTCATTACAAGTCCTACTTTACGTGAAACTAAAATCAGACTCCCGAAAAGTGGTCAAACATATAAATCATTGGTAGATTACATAAAACACTGACCAGAATTTATCCATCTCAAACATTTTTCAATACTTGCTGAATATTTAATAAAAACAAGAAAAATACTTTCTGATTTCTGTGCTACGATTAAAATCAGAAAAGACCTGAATTAACCTTTCAGGATATTATGAATTTAATTTTATTACCAATAGGTACTCACTAAAAGTATAGTTCAGAAGAACTCTTATAGCCTGTGACATTTGCAGTGCCACTGTTATTGTAATCTCCTTTTTTTGAATCAATGCACATATCCCATTCTTTATCACAGGTTGACCATGGCAGATCAGACGCAAATGACTGCAAGAAATAGAAGACTGTAAGAGCCATTAATGAGCAGTAGTAAGTGAGCACTAGGGCCGTGCAAAACATCTGTCCAAAGCCAAGACCTGAAAAACAAAGACAAAAAGTAGTTAAATTATACGAAATTTTGCCTTTTCAATATATGGGTGATAAATTTTCTGTTTAGAATGTTCTAAAAAAAACAGGATTACTTTACAATCCCATTAAAGTCCAATGGCAATTATATGTCCCGCCTGCTTCAACTATCGATAACATTTCGTATTTATGCGTTTTGTATGTTTCTCGCCATAAACAGTGATTATTTCCTTAAACAGCAAAAGACAATTGATTTTTATAATGTTGGAGTGTTTTCTTTGCGGTACGGACTGAATTCTTGGTTTGAAAGGGTTAATTTTACTCTAAAATATAATATTATAAAATTTTAGAACTTTAAATAATTAAACTAAACAGAACTGACAATATAAGCTGATGAAAAAATATTTATTAGTTGAAAACATAAATGTTATTAAAGCATAAGTCACATGTTGATGCATAAATAAATGTAAGAAGGATCTAAGTGTATTTACCTTCTTAGGCGAGTGATTGTGGAAGAGCTCGTTACTTGCCTTGCATTTTATTTTATTTTATTATTTTTATTACAAAAGTTGGTACAAATTTGGTTCACGTCGTGATGATTATACCGTGTCTCAACTTACCTTTCAGTGCTGGTGAAACTGCCCATGCCTTTACAGGTCCTCCAGATATAAACTGCCCTATAGACATTTCCATGTAGTACAACGGCTTGCCAATAAGAAGCAATACCACGATGTAAGGTATGAGAAATGCCCCTCCACCATTCCTGAAGGCAGTGAAGGGAAACCTCCAAACATTTCCCAGGCCGACTGACATGGCAATGCACGACATGAGGAACTCGACTCCATTTGACCACTGTTGACGTTCTGGGCCATCTGAAACCTCCTTAGAATTTTCTATCCCACCCTAGAAAACATAAATATTAAGTGAAAGCTTAGAAAATAGTCTGTTCTTCTTGCAGTTTTGTACGAAATACCTATGAACGTACTGTCATGTAAAATCAGGGAATTAGCTATCTATTTTAATATTTATTTTAGACAAGTTAAAAAAAATCTTAAAATGTATTTTGCTGAAGCTTTAGAACAACTATTTAGGCTTTATGCTGAGTTAATGTAAGTCAATTATCTGTAAAACAACACAGCACCAAAAGCATCTTATCGGTTATAATAAAAATGAGAACAATTGAACCGCAACGAAACATTGTTTTTGTGTTTTTATGAATGTATTTATTTATGGTAAAATTTTCTTAGATAGTTGTAATATAAATGGAGTGTCAAGGTTAAGTGTGTATGCATGTGAACTGTATTAGCTGGCTCTAAACTGACCCATGAGAAGATCCATTTGTATCTGAAATAATGATCTTCAATAACTCGACAGAATGTCTTCAGTTGTTTCTAAATAATGTCATCTTGTCAATGGAAGGCTGTGTACAAGATGATAATTAGAAATTATCCCTTTTTTATGATTCGATATTAGTAGAAATTGAAGACTCCAAAACACTTATATCCCCAGAAAAAGTACAAAAGGTATTCACTAAGTAAGAAAATAAATAAATTGCTGAGGAAATTTGACAATTTGATGCTAAATGAGGCAGCTTCCAATTAATTTACTATGTTTTTTGAATACGAATGCTGTGTAGTTTTGTTACAGTTTGCTTCATTTTTTAAAATAATTCGACATTATTCTCTGAATCTGTCAACTCCATTTGAAATTTCTTAAACACTGTTTCAACATTTACTTGATAGGAAAAAGATGTCTCGTGTTTTTTAAAGTCTTGTAACTTGTAGTTGAACTTCACAAAGCAAACATTTGAAACCAAGAGCACAAAGTTGACTACAGTAGAATAAACAATGAATGGAATAACTATTTAAAATTTTAAAAGTTGTAGCACGAGTCTATTTTTAAGAAACCCGCCAAAAAGTATGTTTTGTGGGCGACAGTCAGCGTGTGAGTCACAGGTTACACGCGCCTTGTCAGATGTTAGGTGCTAATTACTTGTAAGAATAAATGGAACTTTACCTTCAATTCAATGGACTTTAAAGTATTTTTATTTACTTTAATCCTAATAATACATACCAAACTTCCTTTTTCAGTCTGTGCAGAAACTGCAGGCACTTCATTTGATGACGAGAACTTCTGTTGTGCGTCAAATTGACCCAAATCATTTTCATATGCTACATTCACTCTACCAAGTTCCTATAATGGTAGAAAATTATTTCAGTGTCAAACATTAAGTAATTTGACTTCATTACAGTGAACAGTTAGGTGTATGCCAAGCCATTCTTGACTTACAACTAGTGCAAACACAATTTGATATTTCGTATTCTACACTACTCAAATCTATTGTTGCAAATCTAATCGCACTATACATAAAACACTCAACAGAGTCATAAAGGATGTTTCTGTGAATTTTCTTACATATTTATTGCATTAAAAACATTTCCAAATAAAAGTTGTAAATCATAATGACATACATAAATCTTTTGGGGCAGGAGAAAATTTTTTGGTGTTGATAAATTTCTATTTGAATATCATGTGAGGCACTGGTCATTCTGGACCAATCACATCGAACGGACTGATGGGAATGGTATCGCTATTATGCTTTTAATTTATGACTTTCGTGAAAGCAACGCATAAAAAAACCCAGGAACAATTGCAAAAGGAAATAAATTAGTTTCCGAGAACTGGAGAGGAAACGGCTAAGGTCAAGAGTTTAATCGGGAACCTTCCTCTCCTACACGTTTTTCTCTTGTCGAGGCAATGAACTTGCAAACCTAAAACTGACCTGTAGGAGCCGAAGGAATGGAACTTGTTAAGAATGCCCCAAGCTAGACGTGCATCAGAAACCATGAGAGCGTTGCTCTCTATGGTCGAATGTAAAGTAATAATGAGAAATAATTTGGCGTCATGCGGATGGGATGTATTGCCTATTATTTTCATAACAAACATTCTGTCGATTATTACGAAACTGCGACCTGAGAAAGGGTAGAATGTGGTATTCTGATTATATTTATTGTAATTTTTCAAAGCGGCATTTCTAATAAAGACAAATTACCCTGTGCGAACTTTGAATTCGTGAGCCAACCGTAGAGAGTGAGAAGTCCAAAAACCTAATAACCAGGTCTGCACAAATTGTTTGTATCAGCGCAGACCTGCAGTGAATATTCCTAGACAGACTCGTATCTATCTAGGAATCTTCTTCTACTAGTCAACATTGCGTCGAAACCCAGGAGAATAACAATGACGTCTTCACTGCCGTGAGAACGTCACATCTCTCACCCAACAATTGACACTCACCATTCCGTCTCTATTTTTAAACGTATTCTTCATTTTGAACTTTGCATATATTTTCGTTTTAGATGAATAACAACACCGTTATAAAAAAATGTCTTTTCACAAATTGAATTGTGTTTGATCACACACACTTTGCTGTAGATTATCTCAACACTTTCAGGTGATCGTTATCATCCGGTCATGTCAGGTACAACCGGAAACACAACAATGAAATCTGCAGTTCTGTAAGCAAAGAAATACATTTTTTATCACAAAGTTGCATGTCTTATTTATTTATCGGCGTTTTCTGGGCCGTAACCTATTATTACGTCTAACAGTAAGTTGGCTTTGAATGATAAAAGCGGATGAGGAGTTTAGCAGGAGATAGTCGTGGCCCATTTGAAGGTATTTTACCACCATTTGTTTTTAGGACGCTGAGGAAACCGCTGACAATTTATCTGGTCGATATAGATCGTCATGGGACAACAGCTCGTTCCCAGAATGCAAAGCGGAAACCTTACCTACTCATCCGTAACTTTCGGCAACAGAACAGCGAAATCGAGACTACTTCAGAACGAGAAATCAACTCAATTCTTAAACACAGAATATTTAAGCTTCGGCAACCGAACGGTGCTGTGGAATCGTTAGTACTTCCGCTTTGAATTCGGGTGGTTCCGGGTTCAGATGTCGACCCACAGACCGATATCATGCGAGGTTTACCTCAGCCTCTTTTTTGCAAGTACCAGATGGTACCTTTAATCAGGTCACGACCACATTTTTCTACATCTCTTCCACATTATATTACAGTTTTAATAATAAACGTATTTTGCAGATACTATTAAGTTTAATTCTAATTATTTCTTAAAACTACTAAATTACATTTAAAGTCATTTTATAGGTTATGTGGTCTCAAGTATCTCTGTTCAGACCACGAAAGGCTCAGAATAAAATATATTGTAACCAGTGGTACAAAGAAGGCTTCGAGTTTCATGAGTACAACCTTGGTCTGGTGATTAGTTTATAGAACTGGTATTCGAAGAGTCATCTTCCGGAACGTCAGGTAAACGCACATGAAATGTGTCACAAACAAATAAGCAAAGTCAAAAACCGCGCACAACACGAAGTTCAGAAGCGACTGCTCGTTTCAGCGATTTCATTCGTCAATCCGTTCGGAGCTCAGGGTAGAGCGGAACCATTTATGGGCTGTGCAAACATTACAATGATAAATATCGTGACAAATGCCATGTCTTTATGACGCTAGCATGTGTTAGTCCCAATTATATAACTTGTAACTTGTGAATGGCGTCCATAATTACACACACTTGTTTTCCTCCACTTTGTGTTTGCTGATTGTGTGTCTAGAAATCAAAAAACGTGTTTACAAGTTTTCATAACAGTTTGACATTGACATTTGTTAAGTCAGTTGGTTACAGCTTACAGCATTGAGCATGACTTTCTGGTATTTTTTCCTCTTTTGTATATATTTACGTTTATTTTAACGTTTTATTATAACAGTCGTTAATTAATAACTTATTTGTGATACAATACTTTAAATTGTAATTTTAAATATAATTTCATATTTGGTAAGGATATGCAAGCGAATTTTATAATTTCTGTCCGTGTATCTGCAACCCCCCCCCTCCTCAATTAACCTTTGAATAAAATTACAGGTGTTCATTTTTCAGGAAACTGGGCATTATGACATCAGAGACCACTCCGCAAAATAATTATATCGGATTGGAGAATATAAAATAGGCGAAAGACATTCGAAAAATATCAGTCTTTAGTGAAATGACATTTTTGAAGGAAAAACGACATCTTCAGCAACAATTATCCTGGCTTCACAATTTCCACCGCCCCCTTTCCTAACGCGCAGTGATTTTCTTTTGCTGGGTCAAGGTCGACTTGACTTTGAGGAAAATTGGAATTAAAAAATTAAATTCTGAGGTAGCTCGTAGTCGTTATTAGGATTTGAGGGGCAGCCCTGTTCGAATTTTCACTTCTTGCGCGTTATGATAGAAAAATGTCTTCATGGTGACAAAAATAAAGTATTATACCCTGACGCAAATGGAAGGAAGCTAGCGGAATATCACTGTCTTACGCAGCCACAATGCGCGTAGAATTCCTTAACCTAACTGGCGTAATGCTTTCTCTCTTGCCAAGCCAAAAGATTTCACCACTCGGCGCGGTAAGACAAAGTTCAGAAATCTGCTTCTGGCCTTATTGTTGGTACCTACGATTAGCACATTCATTGTGCTTATGTTGTGATCAGAATGTGACTTAGTGATTGATCCGAAGGTTATCGCTATATCAGTCCTTCTTCTTCTTCTTGACGCTACAGCTCAGGTCTAGCCTTGGCCTCGTCTAATACGAGATATTAGAAATTTTCTACGTAACCTTATTCTTTATACTGGGAATCAGTCTATCATAAGGATTCTGTAAGAACGTCGTATCCGTAGATAAATCGCTCATTGACACTTAACAATGAACACAAGAGTAGATTCAATTGTTATGAAAGGCAGTGAGGCTGTTAAATTAACCAGAAAATAATTAAATATATGCATGCATAAATAATTAATAACGTATGTAATGGCTCGACCTTGGTAACAATTTATAACACTTGCGATTAGAAAGACATGATTTGCAACCTCTACATAGTTTTCCGTCCTTTACCAAATAACAAAAGTTTCTTCTCGAACTAACGGACACTGTGTATGCAGTTTCTACCAGATAGTGAAAAGAAACTTAATATTTCATGTGCGTTTCGTAAGCACGCTTGACCAATTCAACAATTGTTCGAAGATGACTGTCTTCTGAATTGTTGAGACGTGTAGTCTGGTAGAAGTTTACGGACGTTTCAGAGGTCCTTGGTGCGTCCATCACCAGGACCTATGAAACGTCTGTAAACTTCTACCTGACTACACAGCGCAACAACCCAGAAGACAGTCATCTTCAGACTCACCGACAAGAAAACCTCAAATTCTACACAACAATTCTTGGTTTAGAAGTTCTTATCTCTTGCACATTGTTTATGTATTTCGATTACGCCATTTCAAAGACACGAACTGTATTGAAATTTATTACTGTCAATTCCTACTAAAATTTATCGATTAACTTTAATGTTCATCCAAACTGAACAAAAATTTAAGCAACTTAGTGGCTCAGACATTAAGTCCCTTATTTAGAACTTATTATTTGTGAGGCTTTGACTCACAAGACTTTTAGCTTTTACCTTTCACTCCTGAGCGAAGTACACATTTAGTTATAATTATCCTGTTGGTAACTCTTTCAATAGCATTGTTTGAATTATATTGGATATTTATTTTTTAACATACGCATACTTAAACAAAATGCATTTACAATTTTCAATTAGGCGTACAAACTATAAATGAGTGATTCGAGTTGATATATTCAATTACTGCAATGTAACAGGCGTATTACGTTGAAATCGGACAGTTTTTCTTAATGCATTTAAAATTTCTCCGTTAGAAACGAGGATAAATTCACACTTTATAAAGGAGATTAGTTTTACAAATAAACATATTTATATTTAACATACGTAAATGCACCATATTGTAAATGATAATATGATCTACTTACCAAATTAAATTCTTGAAGCTTAAAATGTCACTGTTGAAAGTTTGTGAGTAAATCCACAAAAGTTTTTAAAGTAATTAAATACGTCAGTAAGCCCAGTATTATGATCTAATTGTTGAAATAATAAAATAAGCTTTTTTTTTCTTTGCAGTACTTAAAACGTTGCTCAGTTGTGTACTGAATAAGGAGCACAGCGCTGTTTGTTGGTACAGATGTTCTGTTATTTGCAGACAGAGAAAGACAGACGAGGTGAAATTACGAAGTCTGTAATACGCAAACGTCGGTAGGGTGACCACTTTGTTGCGTGGTCTACCTCAGACTGATAGGAACAACTTCCTGATCCTCCACAACTTTAAACTTGTACTGACACAGTTCAGTGAAGGACAGCAATCGGAGAGGAGAGGAGAGGAACGAGGACAATCCGCAACAACCTTGCGATACTGAAAAGTTATTGCAAAGGCAGAAAACTTTATACTTTCACAAGAGGAAAAGAAGGAAGCGATGCAGTGGGAGGTGAACAGAACGCTGGATGATGAAATTTAGGGAGGCGAGGGACGTTGCGACTTCTTGAGACGGGATGCCGAGCTTGGGGGGAACACTTCAGAGTGACGTAAGATGGGAAATGGTAACGGCGTGAAATTTCTAATTTTATTATTCACACGTTGTTCGAAATTTAAAATTAATGTGTTTTCCACTCGGTGTCGGCATAACTCGGAAAATTGTAAATGATTTAGTTATCTCGTGAGGCTTCTTGCAAAATAAAATGTGCGCATACACGAGTTATCAGTTTGAATGGGCCATAAACGTAGTATAAAATAAAATTTCTTGTTGATACCAACTGAAAACTTTAGTATAATTTGGTGTTCTTACTAGAAAATTGTATTATATCTACTAAAAATGTATTTCTATTGATTACAGTGAATAAAGTGAAAACATAACATAAAATACTCTTTTAATACCACTGTTGACTAATGCCAATTTAGCTCTGTCGTATTCCGGTGCCCAAAAGCCACTATTCCTTTAACGTCACTGCCCAAAATGGAGATGTTACATTTTCACTGCTGTTTACACTCCTTCATGGCGTCTTATTCTAGCTCTACCTTTTCTTCATTTTCCGATAGGTAACCAACTCATTAATATTTATGGTAAATTTGCATCTGTAATTTGTTGGACATGACCACACCAACATAACCGTTCCTTTCTACACCAATTTCCACTCTGTATTTTTCGTTACCCTCTTAATTTATCTTATTTTGATGTTCCTAATGTTGTGCAACCCAGAAACATCCCCTGACCTCGGCAGAAAATCTATTTTAGTAGTCAGTAGTGCGTTAATCTTTTGGTGATATCTGATACACCTCCTATCCACTCTTAATTAGCCCTTCGTACATAACAACCCTTTAAAGCCGAGAGCTAATAACTACTTTAAAAATCAATAACACTGCAAGAGTAATATGAATTGACGATCGGATGATATTGACAGAGTAAATCTGAAGAACTCAGAGGAAAACGTGTCCCAAATTCAGTTTATTGATCTCAAATCCCACATGGACTGCTCTGAGCTCGAGCTCGGGTCTCCCTGGTGAGAAATCGGCCCCGAACCACCTGAGCTATTGTGCGGTCTCCCTCGTCTCCGTTCCCCTCGCTGTAATCGGGTTCCTGCTCGTTCAAACTGGATTTGTAGCGCATAAAGCAATGTGCTTTACGCCTACTGCTGTTTCATTGTTTGTGAGACCGTTTAATGCATAAATCAATCACAATGGTTGCTGCTAACAGGGTAATTGTGTAATGCGATGCCACATTCTTCGCAGAATCTCATTTTGTTAATACGTAAGATTTATAGGTTATGGTACTGACATTTTTACAGAAGACAAATTTAGATTTTTTTTGTACATTTTATATCAGCGTGATCAAAATTATCTGAGGTCGACAAACTTTACTTATGAATGTATTCATGTTCTAAGAATTGAAATATCCCTAGGAGAGATTTTACTCATTTTATACGGTGCTATGTTAGCGCGAAGAACTTGTGTGTTTGCAGGGTGACGCAGAAAGAAATGGGACATGCCCGAGGTTATACTTCCCCGTCACAAGTGGTTATGTAGAAAGTTTACATTTGAGCCTTTCACTTTCTAAATTCATTTATAGACCTTCTTATCCAGATAAGTTAATTTCAAACAGTTTCCCATCTAAGTTTGGAGTAGTGGTTTGCACTCATACTTTGTGATTCCAATCACGACTGAGATGCTGGATGTCTCAACTGAAATGTTCTGTAGCACCCTTCAGCCTCTCCAGACGAATTCTAGTGCAGAACGTTAAAATAGGACGCGAAAAACGTCTTCATATCCTTCACTAGAGCTAACCACAGTTAAGTCAGTACTTTGAAGTTGTATTTATGTAATGTGGTTGCAAACAGAATTAGGTACATCGTGAGTGAAGATTCATAACTATGTCGTTAAACACTGGAAGATTACTGTAAGTAGTCATTATTAAAACACGTAATTTAGACTGAAGATTTATACTTTGCGTTTTATGTCGTAGTAGTTACTTCGAAAGTTATTCAACGCGATAATTTCTTCCTCGAAGTGATGGCGATCAGAGGCGACGTTCACGTATTTCTTTAGAAGTGCAGTCTACTCAAGACGTAATAATACCGTGTGGTAAGGTCCTCGGTGAGGTTCAGACACATTGACTCAAATACCGGTCACTGCAGTGCGTCATGGACACGAAACGTACGTAATTAACGTCACGATAAAAAATTTACCACACGGGGAAAACCCGTCTTTCGTAGGACGAAGACGTCAGCGTTCACGTTTCAAGCACAGACCTGTTTGGTTTTCCTCTTTCACGAGACAAAAGAACATCTGGTAGATTGATTAGGGCTGTAACCTGCAGACCAGACATCCAGTCCGTGAAGAAGTAAAGATGTCCCACTATACGTCACATAGGCGTTTTTTTTTTTTTTTTTTTTTGGGGGGGGGGGGGTTATAGCTCCTATTCATTCTTAACTTCGGCATTAGATAGGTGTGAGTGGTCAGTATCATAACCCAGCCGCGGGAAAGGACCTCATACAGAGTGATTCTAAAAGTTAGGGCCAAACTGAAGGAGCATATAGAGGGAATCAGAGAGAACAACTTTCGAATGGGAATCCATGTCCTTCGAAGTTATCCTGAATCAGTCGAGGCCATTGAAGGTAGGGAAGTCTGATAACATACCGCTGTAAAAATTTGGTTTGTAAGATTGCTAATGTAATCCTTGTACATTAATAAAAAACAAAATTAAGCTAGTAGGAGAATAGCAAATTACGATTATTCTATTCCAAAATCACAGGTTAGTAAAAGAAAATAAAAGTTTTTCCCCCAAACCATTTTCACTGTGCAGTGTTTTATACATAATTCCTCACCCACAAACTCGCCAGATACGGAACTCCAAAATCTGTAAAGAATGTGGACGTCAAGAAAAACTGCAATTTTTTGCTCGATTTGTTTAAAACTTTAATATAACAATTTCACAATGCTTATGAAAATTACAGTCATAATTACCTTACAGATAGACACGAATGGCAGTATTTATAGTTTTTAAAGCTTTATGAGTGTCCATGATAAACAGTCTTCAGTACTAAGACAGCAGATTGTTATAAAGGTCATTTTAAGCATCTGTGAATGCAGATTCACTGATGCCGCACTTCAAACAAATATCAATAAACACAAATACTTATCACTTTAAGAAATTAATAAAATAATATAGGATAATTGTATTATAAAAGTCTATAATAATGATAACTTCTTTGTCTTGAAATTTTGATGCTGATAGAATGATGGTTGGTAAACAATATTTAGACGAATGGTTTTGAAAAGACGCGATGTCACAATTCCAGGATTAAATTTCATCAAACAACATAAAAACATCTGTCAGCACAAAAGGATTATAAACTAATATATAAGTAGTGTATGTGCTCCTGAAGAAGTATTAACACATACCACTGACTTGTGGAAACAAATAACACTCAATCACCAATAAAAAATAGTTACATCGTAAATGCGAAGTATTATACTCAATCAGAATATGAAAATAATTTACAATAAATTTATACACGTATTGTACTTTGTGATGATAAAATACGACTTTGTGAAATATATTTGATGCGTCCAGCACATCAGAATTTGTCTGGTGCATCACCGGATTGAGTCACTCTGCTTCTCAATGGCGAGTTACCGGTAACTTTACGGACAACCTTCTGCCACAACGTTTCATCTCTCATGATCAGTTCCAGTTCTCTTCTTCTTGTTTCTTTGAACTCCTTCCACTCCTTGTACGTCTTATTATTCATTGGCCGCCACAGCTCCGAATGTTGGAATGCGGACTTTATTGCCTGAAATGGCGAGTGTAACTTTAACCCCCTTGGTTATTCTTTCATTTGGCATTTCCCCGAATGTAAAAAAACTCAACTTTATTTTGATAACTTAAACGTGCATAAAATTTTAATCCATAATTACTTGATAATATTGTATACTACTTCATTCTGTTCGAAACTGAAATAAATTTTGATTTTAAGTCATCGCTGTGAAACTTCCCAGTTCTTAATTAATGATAAATAGCATCTTATAATATTATAATTATGTTTGTAACAGGTATCGAAAGTTTGGTTTAATAAAGGGATAGTCTGGCACAAGGGAGATGAAATAATCCGTTGTCAAATTATCTCACTCACGCAATACACACACATTAATTTGTTAACTTTCTGTTCATCTGCGTGTATTATTTATATAAATTACAACTAACCTCTAGTAATGAACCATCTCGCTTCTTAAATATAACAAATAATCCCCACAGCGGAAGCTGCAACACTCCAAATGCAAGGAGAAACCAACCTGCACCTGTAAGAAAAATTAAAGTACTACAAATTAACGTGTGGTTATATACAGAACAGAGAATTTGTTTCTGTTTTAAATGGCACGCCTGATAATAATAAAAAAACTAAACAGGAAATAACCAGATACTCAAAATTTTTACTTAACCTAGACTTTCAAATTATTTAATATTGCAATATTTCTATCACTGATATTATCTGAACCTGGTTTCTCATTCAATATTTTGTCTCCCAGGAAATTTTCTCCAGGCATAAATTCGAAACCTTTACTGTGTGAACCTAACCTAACCTAACATTTCAGTCATACTAACAGACCTCATGCATTTATCCTGTCCTAGCTGTGGTCTTAGAAATACACAACTTTGCTTCCTGTAGGCTGACCCTCCATATAAATGACAAAGTCCTGTGACCCTCAGGTGGGTCTCGCGAGACCAATTGGTGACCCTCACAGAAGGAAATTTATTAAGTGATCACAGATAGCTTGGGCATTTTAAGCACTTTGTCGGTGGTTTCTGAATACAGATTGACATTTTATTAATATAATAAAGGTTTCTCATCGACCTCTGCCCCACACGACTGATTTTGGTTCAATTTTATTACTGAATACAATAAACCTCTGGCTTCTTACCATAAGCAGATGTTGGGAAAGGTTCGTCATGATAAGTTTCAGGTTGCATGATGGCTATGGAGTACACGAGGATGACGAGCATCAGAACTGGCGTAATAAAACCCCAGCACAGTCTCCAGTATATGCCTAATTTTTTACCCAGCATAAACTCCAAATCTTCAGCCAAGTTGTCCACACCTGAGGAAATCCAGAATTTATTTCATACTGTGCCGTAATTACAACTCGGCAGTTCGTAATTAAAGAACAATGTGGCCAAAGTTGAGTTTGCACATAATTTCAGAGCACTAGTTCCAGAAAGTCTCACGAAGGAGGTTTCATTCTGTTTCAGTACAGAAGGGCGCATTTTAAAGTTTTTATTCTAGCCCTGAACCAATTGTACAAACACACTGTATTTAAATAAATTATCTGCAGCAGAATAGGAACAATTGAAGGACAGGCCCATACTTTGAAGATTCCTGTCCTAAGAGAAATACGTGTACAAACACAAAATCAAAAATTTAGCTATTTTAATCATATGTAAAAGAACTTACCATAAACCCAAGCGATTCCAATCATTTCAATTGTTCCTAAGATGAAAACAGTGAAATTTGCACCATAGAAATCCACCAGAGTCAAAACGTATTGACCACCCTGCGAAATTATAAAATGTTATACGCCAATAAATGACCTTTACATAACAATTATTGGAAGATTAAGCATAAATAAGTCTGCAAATTTTAATATTGAATTCTAAAAAAACATATTCTCTAACAGATAAAATTACTAAAGAACATTTTTCTCATAAAAGTATTTAATTTGTAGACACTGTTAACTAAACAAGGAATATTTATTTGTCACAATTGAAGTAGGAATCATTCTTTCTTAAAATGTAAATTTATTGATAGTCTGCAAGATCAGGGCCCCATTAACTGGAGTTTTGAAACTCACTTGCATATTTTGTCAGTGTGAAATGTAGTCCGTCAAGTTAAGAGAGAATACACATTGATCATGTTTGAATGGAATATTTCGACATAATTGGGAGGAAGTAACAGTACACTCGAGAAAAATGCAAAATTAGGAGCCTCACAATTAGTACTCATAACGAGGAGTACTTATGTAATGGAATTGAAGGAGAATAAGATAGATGAAGAATGCACTGGACAGATGAGAAATGCAAACGTAATTACTGTCACAAATCCTGAAGGAAGGCCTAGGGACAGATGGAAATCCATCAGAATCATGGCAGGGGTCAGCGGTTATCAATATGACAACAAACTTACGAGTCCTCAAAGAAACAGGGACCCTCTTTCAATATAAAATGTTAAATCTCACGAAAACGACTCTAAATAAAACACGAAACATGTGACACAAAGAGATGTTTTAATAATGAGCTTAACACGTTTTAGTTCTGTTTCACATCAGTTGCATAGTGGACGAAAAATATCTGCGAACCTCAGGTACGTCACGGTAAGAGTAGAAGGGGAAATGGAAATAATGGGGGAGGGAGATCAAGGTGCCTTGTGCGCAACACTTCCCCTCTCTCCCGTACCTCAGCTGGCCACGACAACACGTGCATCTGAACGGTCAACGATGCCCGAAGATATCTAATAACAAGAATGACCACTAAACTTTACTATTAAGTCTAATGGATTTGCTTACTGGTGTGACATAGACAAGTCCCACAAGGAAACCAAAAATGCAGCTGGATGTTGCAACCACCCAGTATTTTACACTGGGGAAACTGTCACAGATAATGGTATTAACTGCCCCTACAAGGGCTACAGCACTGCCGACCCCAAGTGTGTACAGCATTAGGAAAAACAGCACAGCGAAAAGCTGGAACAAATAGACCACAAGTGTTAAAATACCCGCAAATTATAACAGGCATGTTACAACAACAAAGAAAAATTCACTGTTGAAGGCAGCATTATTAAGTTTTTAATCTATCCAGCGAGTCCATCTCAGTACAGTTCAATTTTTTAGACGTGGCCGCTGAGCAGCGCGTGAGGGGAAACCCCTTTAAATCCTTACCTCCATCACTGGACTCGTCCAACTCTACGGCGCACCGTGTTCACAGCGGTCATGCCTAAGAAACTGAACTGTAGGAAACTTCATACCCTGATATCTCATGACCTAGCAAATTTCCGAAACGTCAGGTCTGATCTGAAAAGGAAAATTTATGCCGATGATGGACAACGTCTAGCCAGTAAATAATTATGTTTACAAAAACGTATCATCGTCCTAAGTTGAAGAACTGCGGCCACGAAAACGTGATGGCACTGAACAACTTAACATATCCGAATATATGAGACACTCAGACGCACAGAAGGAAATGTACAGAATGTCGTCACATACCTGAGGCACGACATCAAACTTAGTAATAGCATCAGGGTATGATACAAAAGCGAGTCCAGTTCCTCCTTGCACAACACTTTGTATGTCATCAGTACCCAGTTCGTACATCAGATTTCCCAAGATGGAAAATATTGTACAGCCAGCCAGCAGACTGGTGCATGTATCAAGTGTGGTTACAATCATGGCGTCCCTGCACCAAAAGCAGATAAATATAATAAACATAATGGCTACACGTGCACTCATAATCTGATGAACACCAATTTTAACAAACAGCATACGTAAACATGGCTGTCTTCTGCGATGGTGTGCCATGTCTTCTGGTAGTAGTTCACCGACGTTTCAGAGGAGCTTACTGTGTTGATGGACACAGCAAGGGCCTCTGAAATGTTCGTAATGTCTGCCAGACTAGACTGCGCGTCATCCAAGAAGGCAGCCATTTTCATTCTGACTGCCGCGAAATCTTTAAATCAAACAGAACCAAATTTCCCGACAAAATTTATAATAGGTCTACCACGACGAGTACAAAAAGAAATAGATCAAAAAGTCTGGTAGCTTTTACTTTCGGACAGACAGGTTGACATGACAAATTTAATATCTTGTTTATATTTCTTGCTTAAAAGTGTACTTTAAAATATTCACATCTTTTGCTCATTAATATAAATTTAAGAACTAATAAAGTTTAGAAATGGGTTTCCATGTTTCATGAACACTCACCTATAGACATTATGATTGAATTCATTATACGACGAATACATAATAAGAGTTCCAAAGCAGATGTTGAGCGAGAAGAAAGCTTGGGTTACTGCATTATACCACACCTGCAGGAATAGAGAATTTGGCAAGCTACAAACAATACAATTCGTTAGCGTTTCTACAATATTTTTGTAATTAATTTTGCATGTGCTTGTATGAAATCCATAAAATCCAATTTAATCCTTAACTGAAACCATGGCGCAGAACTATTCTTGGTCAAATAAGGGACGAACACTGAGGGTTGGAGCGGAAGGTTTCTGTACTAGTCTGGTAAGAAACATTTCCTCCGCTCTGAACCTTCGACCACTGCTCATAACACGGCATGCGCTGACGTCAGCAATGGTTAAGGCAAGCACAGGGTGTTTAAAAAGTAATTTACATTAAGTAAGTTGGGAGAGATCGTTAATAATAACTGATGTTTTGTTAATAGTCACTACAGAGCTTGTTCTCGCTACCTTGACGCAGCCGAGGATATTTACCTGTGGATTTAGCAGTTCTTCCCACTGGGGCTCAATGAAGAAGAGGATCCCCTTACCAGCTCCTGGCAGGGTAGCGCCACGGACCAACAGCGCAATCATAATGACGTAAGGGAACAGAGCCAGAAAGTAGGCGGCTTTGCCCGAGCTCTTCACGCCTCGTATAATAACCAGGAAAACTGTTATCCAGGAAAACAGCAGACACAGGGTGAGACGCCAGTCCGGGATTCCTATACCATCTTCTATAGAGTCTGGCTCATTCAACACATACTTGCTGTAAGTGTGAAATCAGAAGCAAATGAACAGTCTTTTGTTGAAAATATAAAAGGTACGTGTCGTCATAGTTCATAAATCCATCACAATGGTTTTGTATTACCATGAGAGAAGTTGCTTCCGACTTTCCATTGCCTGCGCGATTATTATCAACATACACGGCATACAGAGTCCTCTAACGCAGTGGTATTCAACCTGGGGTAAGCGTACCCCTAGGGGTACGCGCGACATCTTAGGTGGTACGTGAAATTTAAAAAAAAAAATATTATTTTATGATAAACACTGAATAATCAGTAATGTAATTTATTTAATTTATTTTAGATGTAGATTATATACTATGTATAATTTGAATTATACACCAACAACTTTGGGGGTACAAAGTTGAAGAGAAATTATATCTGGCGGTACGCGAACAAAAAAGGTTGAATACCACTGCTCTAACGTACGAAAAAGCACATCAGTTTTACCATAATAAATACAGATCTGTTCATTCAGTGTTTTATCTACAGTCCGTCTTGATAAATAGTAGCACTGGTTGAAGCACAAACGACTACAGATATATTTAATTGAAATTACCCTCTCTCGCGCTAAACGAAGCAAGTTTAAAATCATTGTTGTAGCAGCGAATATTCTTTTTTTCAAAATATTCTGTTTTCTGTTTCTCTGTCAAAACTGTTTTAAAAGACTCGACATATGACTTGAGCGGCGTCAATTTTAAGTTTTCCTTCGTGAAAGCAGTTACGTCCGTCTACGTTGTTACTGTATTGTTGGCAAGCCCTCAGTAATAAATTTAATCCAAATATTATGTACTTTCCGAAATGGAAACCATTTCGTAGGGGCGGACGGACAAACAAAAACGTTCCATTTTATACACCTCGAAACAAGTGACGCAAATAAATTATCTTTAGTAACGAGCTAATTAAAATGATAAAAGATTAACCAGATACTGTGTTGTGCTACCAGCGAAACTAGAATGTGTTACTTGGGACTTCTTTTTACCATCAGAGACAAATAACTTACTAAAAGTACAATTCAGAAGAGCTCTTGCGATCTGTATAATTTGTAGATGCATTAACGCTGTCTTCTGTCTTTTTAGAGTCAAAGCACATATCCCATTCTTCTGCGCAGGTCGACCACGGTAGATCAGCCGCAAATGAATTAACAAAGTAGAAGGCAGTAAGAGCCATCAGCGAGCAGTAATAACTGAGCACGAGGACTGTGGCAAACGTCTGTCCATAACCAATACCTAAAACGAAAGTAACAAGCCTGATACAGGATGAAGTTCTTTGTTCCAAGAGGCAAGTTAAGAGCTAGACTGCTCTATGACTGTCCTAGTCCTTGTTAGTTGGTGAAGTAACCAATTTACCTCATCTTTATTCAAATTTTAAACCGTTATTAATGCCAAAGTGTGTGCTGGGGGCGACACCAGCGCGTTCATTTGGGGTCTTGAAATTCTGAGTGGTAACAGAGCTTCGAAAAAATTTTATGCATTACAAAATGACACAGCGACAGAACCATATCTACTGTAGGCCTATATTTAGCTTTCCACCGGTTGTTGCTAACTAACAAACAGAAACAATGAATTTTGTAAGCACCTACAAATTGTGTATGAAATTATAATTCCACAGTTACAAAAATTGTGGCAGAACAAATATTTGAGATGATGAAGCATGGGTCGACAATCATATACATGTGGGCAATTTGGTGGCATCGGAACGGTTTTGTTTTCCCTCGAGAATTTGAAAATATACATAATTTACCAAATTTTATGTTCAAGGTCACAACAAAATCATAAAATGTTGCAACAAGAACAGAGGAACCCGGGCGAGTAACGACATCCCAGAACTCGCAGCATAGAACAGCCTTGAGTCATGCAATTTGGTGACGCTGATGATAGCAAGGCACACGATTATTTCCGGCCTATGAACCGATTCTCTGTCCAGTGCCGAGTTTTAAATTTAATTCAGATGTCACATTAATTTACGTTTTATACAAAAATAACGCATTATCTATTGAATAAGGAGGATATTTTTGTGAGATGAAGTGTACTAAGACAGTATTTTGTAAAATGTCTTGATGTGAGAACACAAAATAGAAATCTTAATGTAATTATTTCAAGTCGCAATTTATGGTAGATGAATACAGTGACAACTTTAGGCCATATTTAAAACACATTCTAATCGCTCGTATATATTAATGGAACAACAGACTGTACGATAATTAATTTGTTATTCCTGACAAGCGTGATCATACAGATAGAAGTATCTGAAGAAAATAAAGTTCACGAACCTTTCCCAGAACTTAAAACTATTCGCAAAAAGTACATGAAAAAATCAGCCCCAAACGTACCTTTGAGAGCTGGTGAAAGTGACCACGCCTTGATAGGTCCCCCGGATACAAACTGCCCTATAGACATTTCTATATAATACAGCGGCTTGCCAATGAGGAACAGCACCACGATGTAGGGTATGAGAAATGCCCCTCCACCATTCCTGAAGGCTGTGTAAGGAAACCTCCAAATATTCCCCAGGCCGACTGACATGGCAATGCACGACATGAGGAACTCGACTCCATGTGACCACTGCTGTCGCTCGGGACCGCCATCTTCGTCATTTGCGTCATCAGAAATATCCTATGAAGTGGACATAACCCCTGTAAACTTGCTGCCATATACAAATCGAATTAAACTTTAAAACCAGAATTTACTACATAAAGTTTCTGCATTAAACTATTAGTTTAATGCAGAAAAATGTGGTGATGGGCTCACAACTTTAGAGCCACATTCAGGAAGCGCATCCTAGCCCCGAACTTTACCGACTTGAGGTTGGTATTCCTCGGTTTCTCATGGCTATTAAGACTTTTAGACTAAGGCTAAGAATAAGGCCAATACTCTCGAGTCGCTATTAATTCATAAATAATTAGACGCTGCCTAACAATAGTGTTTAAGATTTGCTTTCATGTGTCACGAAGAACCAGTACAGATAACGATAGCTGTTTCCTGGGATGTTGCGCCAATAAGTTTACCGATGTTTCAGTGGTGTTTGACGATTCCGTCATTAGGGTGGTCGCCCGGAAGAACCGCGTGTTTAATAAAAGTTGACAGTGGAACCACGGTTCCGGAGAATCTGACGTAAATACGTCTCTGTAATGTAATGTAATAATTCTTATATAAGATAAGTACTTGTGATATTCTAAAACGTTTTTAACAGCACAATATTATCTACTCTACGAAGCACTTCTTCTACAAGCGATTCACAGCTCAGCTCTTTCCGTAATAACGAAAGCGGATTGTTGACGGCAGTAATGTAACACAACAATGCACACAAGCTGACCATTGTTGTCGGTCCATATTTACACATTGTTGATATGGATCTTATACGTCTTCGAGTCACTTTTTGCCGAATGACCCTTCCGTATAGACGTATTTACGTCAATAAATAAATTAAGACCCCCCCCCCCCCCACGGATTAAAAATTTATAATTAATTTACTATGTAACTCATACCACATTTCCTTTTTCTGATGCTGGATTAGTAGTAGGAAATCCACTGGAAGGTGAGAACTTGCTGTTTGTGTCCACTTTCCCAGAATCATTTTCAAATGCCTGGTTTACATTTCCCAGTTCCTATAAAACAAAGTTTTCACTGATCACTACTGAAACAAATGACAACCATCAAGCCCTATAAACGTAGAATTTTGTGAGAAGAAAGTGCATTGCATATTCTGTTACTGTTTTAATAGTACATTCCTAAGCGAAGTTGATCAGAATGGTTATAAAGCATATCATTCTTTCAGACCATTCTGAAAAGGAAATTCGTCGGAATTTTTTTTACTGATACGGACTTTAGTAAAGTTTTTACTTTAAACATGGTTCAATTAGCCTAACTGGTTTCATGCTCCAACGGGTTCAACGCCAACGTTGAACAAAACTTCTCTCCTAACTGAATCAGATATTGTATTGAAGGATATAAAGGTGAAGTTTAGACCCACTGTATTCCCATTTCTCTCCATTATCTGACAAACGAAAAATGCGATCAATAATAGATCCATTATGTCGAATTCAATATTGATAATCCCCAGTAATTTTAACCACGTATAAATTTAGCCTTAACATAAAAATATTAGATAAAATTTTCTTTGAAGCTGATAACAGCGGCATTCCACGATAATTACGATGGTAAATTTTATTGTCCTTCTTTTATCTTATGATAAATTAGTAGACTAGACAGATCAGAGTTTACAGGCATTGACGTAGGATTTTACTTCGTCATGCTGTTACCAGTCAATCGATCCTTCTTATTAGATCAAACTTACAGGCTAGTTGCTAGAACCAACACGTTTCTCTTCTGCAAATTCAGTCGATGTTGATAATTAATCCAACACAAAAACGTCTGTTCTGTACGCTTTTTCTCCCCGGTACAGGACATAAACCTCAGTGCTTAGTTCCCTGTTACGACTTCTTTTGTTTGTCGTACAGCTAAATTGTCAATTCGTGTTTCTTGCCTGCATTTGTAACCTGCAGATGCCATGTACAGACCAGACCTGAGCCTGTCTCTCCCCCACCCCCAATCATCATCAACGCTGTCACCGCCGTGAAAACTTCAAATCTCACCCTCATCTTGAAGTTCGCAAGAATTGTATGTACGTAAGGCAGGTTTAATAGAAACCCTCTTGACGATGATTACCGATGATCTGTTTGACAAAGCTGTATTGATGCTTTCTTCAGAAGTAAGAAGAAATTAAATCGCATAAGTAGGGTTACCTGGTAAAACACGATTACATTGCCTGCCGGAAGATTATGGACTGTGAATCTTTCCGTTTAATTATGCATTACTTCGAATGTTTATCTACTGTGATCAACCTCGAGTAGAATTATGTTTAAATTTATCTTCAATCATATTAAAACTTGATCTTCAGTATTCGCCCTCGAAAGGGTTTGAATGAAATTCTGATCTCTGATATTAGCTCTCGAGGCGCTGTCCATGGAATCATGCTCTTCCTGTAATCGCCCTAGGGAGGATCTCTGCTGCTGAACTTAATCTCAGATAATCCAAAATGTAACTTTGTGGTCATTTACAGCTTTGTCTTCCTGAAAGAGTAAACCTAACTAAGCAAATAACTGAGAGGTCTTCGATGTTCTGGGGTTAACTGTGTCTTTTCGCAGCTTTCTGAGACTGAATTAACAGCAAAGTATTTTCAGAAGATATGCCAAAAATGTTACCATTAAATTAAGCCCTCTTCAGAAGAGCGTATTCTTAAAGACTCGCGTGTACAATTATAAAACCAGAACTTACCACTGCGTCTCCATTTTCGGCTGTCTTCTTCATCTTGGAATTCACTTTCTGTCTTCGTAATTAAGAATATCAAATATTTTAAGAGTTCTTAAAATAATGTTTCACTAATATAATGATCGTGTCTTATGACACTTTTCCTTTTCTTTCTTCAGCACTTTTTGTCGAGTTTTATCACAGATGACATCAGAGTTTCGATGGATGGCTTGTTGTGTATTTGGTCCGTCACGCAGGGCACTATCGAATCTCCAGCCCCTGAAGGAACAAAATGAAAAACTCTTTCAGACATAGATGTACCAAGACCCACATTCTCCCCTCTTTGCCTGCATCTTCCAAGAGGGCTAATCCCTTCGGATTTTGCGGCCAATGCACTTGCGAGCTCTCCGATTCGTGCCACATTTCTCGCCAATCTCATCCTTCCAGATTTGATAAATCCAACATTTGATGAAAACACTAATTATGAAGCTACCCATGAAGCAGTTGTCCACTTTGCTGTCAATTCCTTCCTCTTAAACCCAAATATTTTCGATAGCACCCCGTTCTCGGACACAGTCTACATTCTTCCTGTAATATGAGACACCCAGTTTCACACCCACAAAATACTTCAATCAAGATAGAAGGCCTCGAGGCAGAAATATAAATCCGAGACTTTGCAAACACGAAGCAACGTCCGGATGATATAATTATAATTGTGTTTCATTTAATTTTTACGTTTTTGGATAAAAACTCTTAATGACAAAATGTTCTGAACTGCGTCGTGAAAAAACACGTCCAAAATTGACTGTGACCTTAATTTTCTCGTAAAAGAATTTTTTGAAAATTACCATCCTTCTCAAATTCTTTAACTATGACATATTTCGAAATATTCATCATTGTCTGCAGTTATATTATGACTTCAAAATTAAACATTGGTGATGAAACATGAACATTTATACTTAGTCTCTTTGCGTTTCTCGTAAATCAACCCTCGTGACTAGCAAGTAATAGAGGTGCTGTCTTCGTTTACGGTATTAATGTTTTCGCCCATCAAATTAATTAAAATCATAAACACGGAACATAAGATAATGTGTCGCATTCAATTCAACCCCGCCTTCTTTTTCCCAACACTCGGTTCCAAAGCGAAGGTGGGTATAAATGACGAAAAAAGATGTCCTTGTTTCAGATCTTTGTAGTTTCATGGGAAAACCGAATTCAACGACAATTCAGTACAATACAAGTCACTTAACAGATTTTATCGAAATCTGTAAGTAGCTGATAAGTCCCATTTAGGGACGGAGCATTCACATTGGCCGTCCTGCGACGTCAGATAAATTATAACAGAGTAATTGTGCGTCAGGAACAATAGAGAAAGTACAAAGCTATCTTGACGCCTTCTAAGGTAATGACCTTTGAGAGGCGAAAAATTCAATTGAAACCTCTGAAGAAATCCAACTACGTTTTAATATGAAACAGGTAGCCTTCCACAAGAATTCGAGTTATACGCTCAAAAGCAAAAATGCAAATAACTCATCTGCATTTTCTGGTTTTCCGGTACGGATCGCCTTTCCAATCTGGTTTCATAAAAATCTAGGCATGGAAAGGACTACGCCTGCCTATTGCACTGCTAATCACGTCCCGAAGATCAACTAAACGGCCGACTTGAAGTGAATGGAATCCACACACAAAGGAGTTTTAGAACAAGGTCGATTATCTGCATTAATCCGGATCGAGATTCAAGGCAATCGAGTGTCCACGTGGTTTGTAGTAATGGTTCTCTTGAATCTCGATGTTAACAGATTAATCTATGGCTACTCGTGTGTATTATGACATTCAATGTCACAGATCTAACCTAAGCCATTACGAACTGGAGCTTCAATGCGAATTACTACTCCTCATTCTGATAAATCCGTCATCAACATTTGTTATTTCTTCGTTTCCGGACTTTTCCCATTGTCTAGCATTTCGAGAAGAACTTGACATCAAGGAAACTGGCTCTGTTTCCGCCTTCACGTGAAAAGGTGAGCAGAAACTCAGACGACTCCTTTAAGAAGAACCGATTGCAGTCGCTGGGTCACGTGTTTTATCCGCCACCGCAATGCTAGACGACGTACAAAGTCCAGAAAGTAAGCATTAATGTCCTCCAGGCGTTTATGCAACGCCCGCATAAAGACAGGGGACAACACCAAGTTTTGTTTCGGCGCGAATATTGCAGAAGCAAAGGTGGTGAAAACTGAGAACTATCCTGGGTTCGAGTCCCGGTGAATATGCTGAGTTTATTAATGATATTTCCCTATGATATTCAACGATATGAATCCAAATATAAGGTCAATGATAAGCTTTCGGGCGACAAGGACTCATGTGACACGTAAGCATTTGTCGGATTTCGCGCCAGTAACACTGCTGGTACTATACTAGTGCCCATTTATCAGTTACTCGCTTTTCGTGTTACTGACATGGGCATCTTGAAATAAAAGTATCACTTTTGAAAATAAAATGATATATATTTATAATCCCGCCTCTCTGGAGCTGGCAAAACCCCGATATGTTGATTTTTTTCCTTTTTTTAAGCATATAATTCACGCCCCAAAGTCCTTTCAGACAAACAACTGCTTAATAATTTTCCAAGAATAAATTGCCTCTCATTAGCGATGTATGAAAGTATTTCATTATCTACACTACAAACAGACATGTATGTTGCAACAGTAATTAGTAGTGGTAGTAGTAGAAGTTGTTATTATCTGAACTAGAAACTAACAATTGAAGGACCTCACATTCAGGAAGTAGGTGACGTCACAGTCTGGAAGCCACGAAGGTAATAATATAACCTAACAAATAATTCAGCCGTTTCTTAACACCCATAACATGGCACAACGTAGCTTCAGAAATGCGATATGGAAGCACTGTGAATCGAAGCTGCAGGTAACTGAACGAAAAGTCAAATAATTACCTATAATGGAAACAAATTGTCAACGCTTCTTTATATGTACGTAAATGCGTGTTTCCAACACGTTTGCTGCTATCTTCAGGACGTGTTCGTTGAAGATGGCAATCTTCTGGTATGTTAAGACGAAACTTACCGACAACTCTTTGGTGTTTACTGCTATCGTGTAGATGATGACGGCAGTAAACACGTCTGAAACGTAGTACAATTTCTACCAGACTATAAGACATTCCAGAAGAGAGCCATCTTCATAATCGCCGTCATGAAAAATTGTAATCTCACGGCTCATTAGTTATTTCTCCTGTCATGATTAAATGATACACGCAATTTGCATTAAAACCAAGGTACAATCAGCTGACATTATAGTGAAGTCTTTTCAGACTGACTCATGTACTCAACAGTCACTAATTGAAACAAAATTTGGAAGTACGAAAGCAAAAGGCTCTGTGTTCGATTCTGCGTTTCTTATGTGAACGATGACCCTCTAGAAGGAAATTATGAGAACCCGTTTATGCTGAATAACGAAATTTTATTATGTCGACTGAACTGCGAACATGGACATGATGTAGATTATGTATGAGACGCGAATACAGGCAATTCTACTCGCAGGACGTCCATGTGATTCGTGAAAGATGACAGAGTTTATTGTCTTCTCGTGATATTGATAAAACAAATTATTTACGTGCGCGATATAAATATGCAGCTTCTATTCCTAAGTTATTACAACATTCATTCACAGGGCATGAAAACTCGGTTCAGAAATTCTATAATCTCGTCTTTCTAATGTTTAACGATTCCCATACGCGACCTCAAGGCCATTTCTGAGCGCAGTAAAGTATGCAGACATTTATATAAAGTATCTGCTACTGTGGTTCGATTTTAAACAGAACTAAAACGAGTCGACAAACTTCAGTAAAAATTCCTCAAAACGAAATTTTTTTAAAACCTGTCCAGGGGTCCTTTTGTTTTGACACGCCAATCACTAAGCGATTAGGCGCATATTTACAACGCCTTAAGAAACTGAATCAGAGCAGAGGTAAATGGCGGGCACCTATTAACGGACTCCATAATTACACGGGTAATATCTTGACTAGCTGAGCAACTAGTAGATTCTTCAACAGCGATGAATCATTAATAATGAACACGAATGGATGTGAAAAAAGGTCGTACTGACTTTGTGCAGTCTCACCATTTGCCTGGAAGGAATGAGGAAGACCACAAAAACCCTCAGTCAAGATAGCATTTCTCCGGGCCGAGATTCGAACTAGGGGCTTTCCGGAGAGGAAGTAGCAGTGTTAACCACTAAACCGCGACCTTTGGTCGCCTCCCTCGAAAATGGCAGGCGGACGTTTAGGACTGCGATGCAATGAACTGCCGCCTCTGAGGACAATGACGTTTCTTACCTCATCGTAAACTTAAGCTGCGTGTGCTTTGAACCCTCATTTATCAATGTCTTCACAAAAGCTGCCAGTAAAACGATAATAAATGCAATAAATATTTTTTTCAAGAAGAGTATATTTAACAACGTTGTATCACCTGAACAATGTTTTAGCATCGCATTACTTGTAAGTACGATGGCGTCCGGTGGGTGACCTTTAAATGACAGGTAACGTTTTTATCTTGGTCTACTACAATGTCATCCTGGTTTTCGCCTAAAGGGACTGCGAGAAACTACGAAAATCATCAGGATTATCAGTGTCCAGACCGAATGTAAACTTGCAGGAAGATACCAGGGTGTCGGAGGAACATATTGCGCCCATCTTCAGGGCTGTAGTGTAGAATGTACACGTTGGTCTTCTGGGTAGTAAGGCCCTGAAGAAGGAGGCACTACGTTCCTCCGAGACGTTCGTACCTACGTACAGGCCCACATAGTGTTATTACCGAGAATAAAAAGATCGACTTTCTATACAATGGTTCCGAAATCAATCATATGGGAACTATACTTTGTTATTTTTGTCCAATTATGGCGTTATCAGCAGACTTTTTAATTACTTGCCAAGCATGTTTCTCCAGCGGAAAGCTCCTACGTTACATAAAATATGACTTTCGAATCTCCATCTAATTGCTAGCGGATATATTAAACAATTTTCTTTACTCTCTACAGGAGAATTCCAAAACGGAATATTTAAACCGTGCACTAAAATGCCAATATGGAGATGCTACTCTTTCAATCGACTTCGTAATCAGCGTGAACAGGTTAACAAATCTCTTTGTACTGGCAGAGATTTAATCTACCAATGAACTCAAGAAAAGCTTTATTGTTGTGCTGAAAAAAACCTTGCTATCCTTTGATAGCATTATTCTGTTTCATTGTTGTGCCACTGAAGATGGATAA